GAGGTGGGTGGGGGGGGGGGGGGAGAGAGCCCCAAAGGCAACCCAGCGATGTCAGGTCTGTGTACGCTTTTAAGATAAAGGACAGGAGAAGGGAGAGTCATGAATGCAGCATAAGATCACTTGGAGCTTGTCATCCTGTCGATCCACCTTCAGTCTTACTACTGAGGTTCCTCTCGGCGCGGGATGAGGCCGGGTCAGGGTCAGGCGGGTAAAGAGAGCCCAGTCCAGCGGACACTACGACGGCGCCGAAAAGGGTGTCGGACCGGAGCTGTTGTGGTTGGCCGACTTGACGATGGTAATGACGCTGGTGGTCGCCACTTTGCCCGGCGACAGGGGCCCACCGCGGGTCACAGTCCTGGCGAAGCACTGTAGCGCCTCGTACTTGGCGCGGAGGGCCTCCAGCTCCAACCGCATGCTGGCGTTCTCGCGGGCCAGCTTGTCCACCTCGTGCTGCAGCTCCGTCTTCTGGCGCTCCAGCTCCTCCTTCTGGGTGACGCGCTTGATGCGGCAGCTGGCGGCGTAGCCTCGGTTCTTGAGCGTGCGCCGTCGCTGCTTCAGCCGCACCACGTCTTCTTTGGTCAGCCCGCGCAAGTGCTGGTTGAGCTCCCGCACGGACATGGCCACCAGCTCGTCGTCGCTGAGGGCCGGGGCATTCTCGCCCGACTCCTTCTTGACCTGCGGCCCGGAAAACGCAGCGTGAGGACCCGATACCTAGTCCAAAATGCCGTCACGTCCGGAGCTTACCTTTAAAGCTTTGCTCGTCTTGAAAGGAGTCGTCATTCCCTGCATGCAGACAACTTGCCACACTCTCACAGGAGACGCACTGAGGCAGTAGATCGGAACAGTGTTAGTCACTCAGGATACTTGTAACGTCTTATTATTCCACTAAGCGCACAGCTTGGGCCAAGCAAGGCCTTCGTAACACTCTATCTTCTTCATTTTACAGCGTTTCTTGAACCATTCAGATTTCAAATGTATCCTCGATAACGACTTTTGGTCAAACACAGACACACTCATATCATCACACAAATGCAATGCACAACCTTAACTTCTTTGTTGGCTTCCCCAACCAACACTTTCCCCTTGCTCTATTATGGCGCACCTGCAAAATGGGATGTGGTGGCACCCTGTTGGCCGCAAAGCCTTGTGTTGATAAAGTTTTCATACACTTTTTTGGCAAAACTCTCACAATGTAGTGCTGACAAGAGAGAAATTGGAAGCTAATGTCGATTCTGTACATTACTCATATCTCTCAGTTTTGTAATGCACATGTCCAGCTATTCAATGTTCTCCAATTAGGAGCTGAACGGCAAAATTGACAGCATCCAGAAAATGTCACCTAAAAACACCAGACCCTGAACTTTTTGTTCGACTGTAGGTCATTGAAAGCTCCTTAATGCCTCTCCAGCAACTTTTAGCATCTTGCCATTGGCCATGTGTACCAGCAGAGGACAGCAGGACTTCAGCTGAGCCGTTGTCTCAACAATGTCGTTCACTAGAATGAGCCAGCACCCCCCCTGACAGAAGCTGGACTCTTGAGAAAAAGTCCATCTTGTCACAGAGCAGGGTGTCCACAGCCCCCCAAAAAAACAACGCCGTGACCAAAAGCAAGGGCTCTATTTCAGGACTTGGAAGTGCCATGTTTCATGCTCGGTGGCTGCCATGGCAACGTCCCTGTGAATGGGCGTGGGAGTATGAGTCACATGGTCAGCGAGCGGGTAAACAAGGCTCATTCATAACCGCAGCAGCCGAGCTCACACAGCCTACAAACAAGTTTTTTTTTCTCTCCCCCCCCCCGCCAACAAGGTGGTGAGGAGGGGGTCCCTCCGTAACACCCACCGCCACATGACAGGGCGTAAATTACTGTCACGTCAGCATTACATTTACAGTACAGTCATGCTGACCTTTAGCGGAGCGGCTTGTGGAAAATTCCCCGTGTCACGGTGGAATAGTTTCCCTCATAGTCACGGGTGTATTTTTACAGGCAGACAATGTCGTCTATCAGCATCCCGCTGCTCAGATCCTCTTTCGCCGGGCTTCCCTGAGCCTCTGCATGCCCTTATTTATCTCTGCGGGGGTAAATTTAGACGCCGCGCTTGAACCGATTTCTGCCAAGTCGACAGTTTCACTTGAAGTGATATCCTGGGAAGGCTGTTCTCGAAATATTCCCTTGGGTGGGGCGGCAGTGGTCCTCAGGCTTTTTACACCAAGTACCACCTCAATAATTACTTAGCTCTCATCGTCGCACCATCATGAACCAACATTAAAATACAGTTGCCAAGAAGGCCCAAGTGTGACTCAAAAGGCAGAAGTAAATTTAATATTTTTAAGAAACCATTAAAACATGACCGTATGTACAATTTGAACACTCACAGCTTAAGTTGACTGTCAAATTAAACTGCGTATTTAAAACAACCACACAACTTTGCTAGCTTCATGCTAACACAATGGAAAATGCCATTGATGGGCTAAGGAATAGCATCGATAGTCGTGCTGTTCTAACAGTGCATCAACACATGTAGACAGATGATCCAACAATACTCATGGGCATATATTCTTTATCCTCTGTGAAAAACTAATGGTACAGCAGTTTCCCGAGTCCCTCACAGTAGCTGCAAAAGTCTTGCGCCTTTGTGTCTTTGTAACTATATTATATTGGCCCCATTGGCCAAACCGCACCTACCACATTAAGTCGCAATTGAAAAACTGTTTATGTCTTTACGTTCTCTTTAATTATTTTATTAAAGTATGATGTTTCCGTATTAAAAACACATTGCACACATTTTAGTTGTGTTTTTTTGTGGGATGACGACATCCTATTGTTTTGATTCATCTCAACGGGGAAAGACGATTTATACTCATACAAATGTTTTCAGTTACAAGTGTGGTCACGTAACTAATTAAACTTGCATCTCAAGGCACCGTTTTATTTAAACAAAGAAGTTGATGCCACTCCAGCTTTATGTACAGCAGGGGTCACTGACCCGGCGCCCGCGAGCCTGAGTCACCCAACCAAACCAAAAATAGCTTACCACTGAGGGGACATTGTGAATTTCTGGGACAGTTTTACATGTGATCATTTAAAAATGTAGTATATAAATACAGTCTTGCTTATTGATGTTTCCTAATGATTGTGACGTGATCAATCTTCACATTCATGAATTCAGATGTGGGCATCAACGTGGTAGCCCTTTGCATTAATTCGCACTCAAGACATGTATCTCAGTTTCAAAAAGGTCAGTGAGCGATGATATATAGTTTGAACATGTAATTGATTCAGGTATTCTTTGGCATACTACATTTTAGGAATCAGTGCTTGAAGCGAATGTTTTTTTTTTTTAAAAGCAATTTTGAAGATGCTGTCCGAAGCCGAATCATGACATCCCAGTTGACAGGATAGAGACCAACATCAAAGCGTTCCAGTGTGCTGAAACGCATGACTAAAGCCAACCACTAAGTCCTGTTTCGGGATTCTAGCAACATCTACCCAGCTGCATCGCCAAAGTAAATATATTTATACAGTATATGGTATTCCTCATATGCAAGTCGTTGGAAAATGTCTTGTTGCGTCAGCACGGGGGTCCCTGGGAATATTCCTTGTGAAGATTATGGAAAAGTGTTGCATGTTAGCAGTATGGGAGGCCCCTTTCCTTCATACAAGGGGGCCTCTGGCGAGAACCAAGACCTTGTTTTCCTGAAATTCTTCAGGCATGTACTTGTGTTTTTCTAAGGTTCTCCTCATCAAGATGCCAAAATTTCTTCCACAAGAGCTCGCATGATAGAACCCAGGCGCTCGTGTACAAACGGGACAGATCCCCCCCCCCCCCCTTTCCAACAGACGCAATCAAGAAAACAACTCGTGCGAGGCCATTCTGCAAAGGCAGTCTGGGAAAATACCTCCAAAGGGAAAAAAAAGGGCACAGATGGCTCGCTTTGAGAACAAAAACCACATTCCTGAGTAAACACACATGTGCCGGAGCCTCTCATGCAAATGTTCACCGGAGCAAACCCAAGATGTCCCGCCATGCACTCCACTACAAGGGAACGGGGAAGGGGATGCGGGCGGAGCTGAGACTCTTCCTCACTTGTTAAACAACAGTTGCAGTGTACAAAATGTCTGGAATTCCGATGTGTCTGCTGTAGTTCACGTGCCCAAACAAATCAAACGTAGCCTGTGCGCACATGCCGGGAGGTCGGTTATAAAAACATTTCAATATACAGTAGAACTGTGGATTCACATATCTTTTCAATATTTTAATTACAGTATAAATTGTTGTTGTTTTATGGAAAACACTCGATAAACTATTCTATTTTCCGAGGTTGCCAGAGGAGAGAGAAGTCGACAGCAGCTTTCCAAAGACGTTATAAAGAGCATGTGGCTATCGGCGATTGTGTTCACGATTTCAACGTTGATCAATGAGGCTCGTTTACGAAGAGGTGAGCAATTATTCCGCCAAATATATTTTCATTTAAATTCACACAAATAGCACCGCAATCTGCTTGGCAGCGCAGTTTGTGAAGCATTGAACCATCTGCACGTGATTTGTGAATTGGATGCCGATGATGATTCCGACGGTTAGCGGCTCCACAAAAGCTGGGCAAACTGATAGTGAATTTGTCCCTCGATTGGTTTTGAGTCCAGTTATTATCAGGGGTTTTCTTTTAATTTTTGTCCTAAAAAGAAGAAGAAGAAATTGCGCTCAATTCGATTTTTTTTTTTTAATGAAAAAAAAATATGGTTTTGGTTTTTTTTTGCCAACTGAAATCGTGTTGGAATATAGTCGGGTCAATGTGTTTGTTTTTTTTTTTTTTTTTTACATCATGTTTGACATCTTGTGATAAGTTGTTGCACAGTTATACCTCATTTTCTTGATTTTTTTTGCTGTGCATCTTTTATGAACCTTGAGTTTAATCTAAGTCAATTTTATTACAGGTGAGAATTTTAAACGTCATAACGGATTATTTCCTATGGTGAGAAAATAACTTCCAAATCTGAACAGATCAAACAGCATCCCGGAAAGGTTGTTATTTTCCTCCCTCTTTACTTTTTTTTTTTCTAAACTCACCTAATTGCATTACCTCAGAAATCCCCGGCAATAACTGTATTGGAATGACGCAATGGCGCATCCGCGACAAAGCTCGGAGTGATCCGTCGCCACAAGGTTTGAGATAAAAGACGGTGCGGCGAGTCAATACGTGCAATAAACACGCAGGCCCTGACTGATGTGGAGAGCAGAGCGTGTCTCGCGTTGTTTTGGGCGGACGCATCACTTTGAAATGGACACTTTCAAGGATATTTTTGGACACCTCGGGTCTATTTTTCTCTTGTTTTTCAAAAACAATCCAACATCAAAGCACGCTCGTCTGCGGACAAACAAGAAAAACAACAAAAGACTGCTTGTTTGGTGATGTGCAACGCTAATGTAGCATATTCACTCCACATTTAATATTCCTTGCGTTCTAGGGCTGCAACTACCAAATATTTTGCTATTCCGATATCCTACTGAAAATCCTATCGAATAATCGGGTATTCGCATTGAAATAAAAGTTTCTATTTTTCTTGCTTGGTTAATGACAGAGAAGACAAAAAAAAACATTTACACTTAATAATGAACGACCAACAGGTTTTCATTTTTAGATATGCAATATTTTATACCCCAAATTAAACTGTGCTTAGAGCACGATTTCTTTTCTAGTAACGGCAAGGTTTTCGACAAATCCCTAACCCTGGGCATAGATTTTTGGTCTCTGTGACAAATAGTGACGTCAGAACCACAGTTACCATTTTGCCGGCTAAAACAAAACATGTGTTACATCTTCTGCTTTTGAAAATTAATTCAACAGCAATATATATGGGGCACTGGAGCGCTTGCTAGTAGGCACCCGCCTGCTTGCTAGCAGGCGCTTGTTAGCGCTAAACACTGACAACAGGTGCCTTACAATACGGTGTCAGACTAATTATGTCATTTTTTTTTCATGACCTTAATTAGCGATTGAACATTATTCCAGGATGTTATTGTATTGTTGAAGTCGGTAGCAACAGTTTATAACGGCAAATGGCCCCATGCAGAGCCAAGTCAGCCATTCCACCGTGACATGCTGCTATTAAAAGCAAAAGGGTACCTAGGCGTTGTTCATATTTTGTAAGGTATATCTTGAAGTTGTTACTGTCATGCATAGCATATATACTTGTTGTTGTGGTTAGCTTGACTACTACGTCTTGGCAATGAACATGTAAATAAGGGGATGCCCGAGGCAAAAAAAACAGTCTCAAGTATTTTTTTTTTTTTTTTTTTTAATCAAGGTAGCCAAATTATTCTGACTCATTTCAGCTCTAATGCTTTTGTTAGATTTGTTTAGGTCTTTTGTAATGTGTGAATGTACTGGGTTCCCTTTTACATATGCCGAGTAGTTTTACTTTCTTTTACTTTTTTTTATAAAGTGGTTGAACTTTCTTTTGATGCTAATCCACTTTGCATGTTGTCATGATTTTTCAACCCAAGCACGATTTAAAAAAACACTCGTGTTCTTGATGACGTGTTTGTTTGTTTTTTTCAGGCATCTGGTCAAGTTCAAGGTTGCGGCAGGTAACTGGAGGGCCCGGCCCGCTCCAGAAATAAACAACACACAACCGCCTTGTTTTCCTTCTTTCTATTTGCTAGTTCCGAGGGCAGACTTGAAGCCGCCCTCTGACAGATAATCTTTTGGCACTTTTTATTTTTTTATTTTTTTCTCCCCAGGCGGCTGTTGAAATTCATCCAACAGACCCTGTACATGTGCAAATTCCACTCTCTTTCCCCCAGCGCAGCACATTCGTCGGGATCCGGTGTGAAGGAAACGCGGCGCATAACCGAGAGGTGAGTCATGCTGTTTACTGTTAAAAGCCCCAAGCGGCAGGCAGGGAATCGCACCCTCCCGATCTGACGTTTCCTGGAAAATCCCGTTGTTTCACGAGAAAGGAAGGAAAAGTAGCCCGAGCAACGGTTGGCATGACCACCGGAGATCTGTGGTGCGGAAAGGGTGGAGAACGCGCTGTATTCCAAAGACAATTTCAAGAATGCAGAACGAGGGCTGGGAAAATGAGCCCACATGGAAAAGCCGTGTGTGAATAACAGCAGACAAAAGCTCACGTTTAGCAGTCGCCGTGAACTCCAAAACAACAAGCTCAGGCATTCTGGATGTGTGCTGCCAGCTTGCATTCTCACTCTGTGTGGAATCAGGAAGTTGCAAAATGTGCATCAGCGAGTCGGACCTGTCCAAACCAGCGAGGATTTCCCAATGACATCCCACCAAATAAATAACCTTGGCCCGAGCCGCACCTATGAGTACAATGAGGCCGGCGAACCGGCGGGGTTGAAAGCAGGATGCAGCTCGCCGTGTGACCGTGTAACTGTCAGGTCATTTCATTAGGCACCCCTGCACAGTTGAAGGAGATTGCCTCAAAAAGTCTGGCTTGACAAAAATCATCATGCTCACTTTTGATTGACAAGTTGGCATCAAACTGCACTGCATCATGCTGAGGGCAGTTTCTATTTCTGTGCTTTGCCCACTTATGATGCGAAAAACATGGTCAAAACTTCCTTTAGAAATAGCAAACGCATGCTGAGAGAGTCCAGCACAGCACGTCTGTCTCACAGTTCTGAGGTTCAAGTTCAAATCTAGACTCCGGTTTTTCTTTGAGGTGTTTGCAATGTGCACCCCCACAAGTCAAAATACAATACAGGTATTTGCTTTTCTCCATTTCGGGGGGTGGGAGGGTCTGCCCATTTTTCCCTGTATTGCAATTGGACTTTACACAGATGTGATGGGCTGCATTGGATCGGCAGATATTTGCCGTTTTTTGCAAAATCAGTCATCGGTTATGAAATCATGAGTTGCCGATCGATCCGTGACGTCGATGATCAGATCTGAAAAATTCAACACAGCAGCAAACAGTCCAGGTATGTTCTGTGCTGCCATTGTTATTATTTTTCCCAGCATATCGAATAGGGTCTGATTTATTTATTTTTAAAAATCTGTGTATGTAATGTTTATCAGGATTTTTTGAAAAAAATTTGAGTTTAACCCCCCCCATGCATTTCAATGGGGTTCACTGATGCATGCGTTTTGGCCATTTAAACAACTTGTTGAAATAGTTTGGATAGATTGGTCGATCCTTGATCAGATTGCTGACAGTTACCGTTTGTTTGTTTTTTTTTGGTTTTTTTTACCTCGCAGATTGGTAATCGGTGATCAGCCCCCAAAATCCTCATCGTGTAAAGCCTAATACCAATTAAAAAAAAAGTCAGAATTATTAAACAAATACACAGATTAGCCTTATGCTAAATAGTGGCAAATGAACCATGGCTTTATATGAAAGGCAATTTTTTGATCTACTTCAATTACAGTCGCTAACTTACTCGACACTTTGATTTGCAGTCTTTTAAGCGTTTAATACGACGTCAAAACATTCTGCCAAACAATTGTGGTGTGAACATGACTCAGTAAATCACAAATCAGATGAGCAAATAAACAGTGAAATTTTTGTTACTATTTTGCTTGGATGGCCAAATAGGATGGACTGAAACAATATGAAGAAGTCAAGAATAACGGTTTATTCAGCTATTGTTTAAGTTAATGTAATGAGGGGTTTGCTAACAAGAAAATGCTTACAATATCTTATTCAACTCTTGTTACTTTTCAGAAAACCATACTATTAGGCAAAGCGAGCAATGTCTGTTTGAGGCAGCCATGGCCTTTGGATCTCATTCGATTGCGCAGGTGTAACCAAGGTATTATTAGCCGCTCAAATGATGTTTACCCGTGAGTAAAATCGCAGGCTTGCATAGCCAATCACCCGCCTCCCTCCCTCAGAGCGAGCGAGGCAAAAACACATCAGAGCAAACATCCCTGTGAGTCATCACATTGCTCACCGCAGCTATGTCACTTTCACAACACTCCACCAACCACCACCACATGAGCGCTCTGCATTCTGTTGCCGCGTTTCATCCCGGGCAAAGTAGTCAATGACTGGTGACAATTTAAATACATATCCCCTTGTCTGGATCTCATGTGCTTCATCACGCTCACGCAACAAGCGCACCAGTGGAAAAGAAGTGAGTCAGCCCTCGGACTTAATAGAAAAAAAAACTGTGAAGGGTGGTTGGGGGGGGGGCGGGGGTCAATTGAGGCACATGTTCACCTCATGACAGATGAGAGCGCCCACTCCCACATTCTGTGCACCCACCCGGAACAAGATTGAAAATGCAAGTTGGTGACATTTAAAGTGAAAGAAGTGACTCAAACAGTGAGCGTACGTAAATGGAGTTGCGTCAGAGTTCAACTGAGCTCACACATTCATTAAAAAAAAACTCCTCATAACATTAATTACAAGTGCATGATTTTGCAACTCGACACTATGATCCACATGAGAAGACTTTTTGTTTTTTCCCCTGGGAAGAGATATATTGTTGATGTATATATATGCTCCCCCCGCCAGCCTTGCCAGTACCGGTGGTCTGACGACTTATGGTGCCCTTTGTCCGACATGTCGAAAATGTACACCACGTGTTGTATTCCAATGTCAAAAGCAGGCTGGGATTTGGGCTGTTTTTTTTATTTTTACGCTCCATCTCAGAATGAAACCAGAAGTGTGGTACAAATAGTTTACAGACTCTTAACACCAGTTCAGTTTTTTTTAAATAATCTATGTCATAAAACAACCATTCGTGTATCATTATTTAAATTACAGGTAGCTTAGTCGTACTACTACTACTTTTAATGTTTCACTAGAATGTATGCGCTCACTTCACCTACTTTTAAAAAGCCTTCGACTTTCACTCGTACGTCAACTCCGTTTATTTCAACGTAACCGCAAACTCTCGAGTAAGCCGTTTTTGGCCACCGTTTATTTTACACGTGTCGATTTAAACTGTTTGTTTTCTGACTTCCGCATTTTCGCAACATATCTAAACTTATTTTAAATAAACAACCTCACCTGTTTGGGTGCGCGTGGATCCACGTGGACTGGAATGCGCGGAAAAATAAAATATTTAAAAATATATATATTTATATGTCCGGTTAGGTGGGAACCTAACCCCCCAGGGAAAACGAGGCCGTCGAAGCCGCTTTGCTGAGTCCGGCAGACGGCGACGCAGCCAGCCTGCGAGCGTAGCGTCCTGCTAACTCAATTCACCCCAAAACAACAACAATGTTACTAACATTCCACGCTCCCGCTTCCGCAAGCACTGACGTCACCGCGTCCTCATGACCGCCCCCTCCATTCATGAAAATAACTTAGTGCTGACGTCAGCGCCGGGAGGGGGGAAGCCAGAAATAGAAGAGTCTGTTTTTCTTGCGGAGAAAAAAGTCCTAATCTGGTCGAAGAAAGCGTGTACTTTTGGAGTTAAATAAGATCTTAAATAGCGATCTTGAGCCCCAACAAGTGGGGGTGGGGGTGAAGCTTGCCTGGAGCAGCAACATTCCATTCCGGAGGAAAGTATGCAGGGCAGCGGCAGTCACAGGATTGTTCTTATTGGGCCCGCTGCAGTCACAAGTTATTTTTGCTCTGCGATTAAACACTCGGTGTGTTTAAAATGAAAAATGGGGGGCATTCACTTTTAAGCACCCTGATCCATAATACACACTCATACACAATATTCGTTTTTTGCTCCACTGGATTCCACACTGGAACAGAATTCAGGCAACGCGAGTTTAGTGTTTACACTCCAAATAGTGCAAGTGGCTTAAGTAAGGAGAAACACGGATTGGCCATGGAGTGTACAGTGCCCCTAAATTTTTTTCAATCCCTCCCCGCTGGCTTTTCCACCTTCTTCCGTGTGACATGTGCGCACGCGTGTCTGACAATGAGGCACTCTAAAGTGGCCGCTGATCCTAACCAAGGTGCTTAAGTTCTTATATAGTTGAGGTGGGGTGACTCATGCTCGGGCCCGAGTCTGTCACTACACCCTGTTTTCGCCACACCCAATAGATCTGTAAAACTGAAGTGAGTACTAGTTGAGAACTGCATAGTTTATTTCACATGTTTCCAGCAATTATCCTCAAACATGTATTATGGATTTAGAAACACATTTCAGAATTCACTTGACACGTTCTTGAACTCCCACCACTGGTCCATATGTGACTAAGTGGAGTCACACACGAACCACTCCCTCATTGAATCTTAGCAGGCACACACACTCGCAGCTCGGTCACCTGCTGCCACTTAACTTGTGATTTAAAATGCTGTCATGTTTAATAGCCAGTGAGTCAATGGCTAAGCTTGTTGTTCTGCGCAGCACGTGGCAATGGAGATGCTTGTTTACTCCAGACCACATTTCTCCTGTGAACATCATCAGATAAGTAAACTTGCTTTCATTTGTCCAATCTGGTTGCTGTCAGCCGACATTTGGACATCACATGTGAGTGACCCCCATAATGTTTGATCATAAATTTCAGCTTCAATTATCTTTACTTATTGCCATGACCAACTGGAAAAATAACAACGAAATGTTTTGGTCATGCTTTGATATTATCTGGTGAGAAAGACTCGACTTTCATCCGTTTTCTATAACACCAGTCCTCATTTGGGTTGCGGGTGATCTGAAGTCCCAGCTGACTTTTGTGTGAAGAGGCGGGTTACAGTAAGGCTTGGATTGGTTGCAAGCCAATTGCAGGGCGCATATACACAAACAACCATTCACATTCACATTCAATTAGAAACAGTTTCGAGTCTTCAGGAAACCTAACATGCATGTTTGGGGAATGTAGGAGGAAGCCTGCAGGATATGCTTCTGGATAAATACTATACTACAATGAGACTTTACCATGTAACGGTGTATGTTGCATAACAACTCAAACAAAATAAAAATGATTGCAGTGAAAGTCTAGTATGATGTAAATACCAGTGATTCAGCGTGTTATGTACAATATGAATGTTAAATGCCCAAAGCACAGCAGTAACATAATGAAGTCTAGTGGACCTAAGATGGCGCCCTGAGGTACCCCATAATAAATATTGAGTCATTTAGATGTGAGCTCATCAAAATGAGATGATCGGTTGTGTCAAAAGCTTCGTATAGATCATCAACTAGTGCAGCTCTGCTCCTACGATATAGTTGTGATGGTGCTTTCTGAAAACAGATCGAGCATAACATTGATCTATCGCAAGGAATTCCTTCAACTGTTCAGTTGCAAGCATTTTTAGGATCTTTACCAAAACTGAAAACTGAAATGGGCCTGTTGTTATTCAGAGGACATTTGTGAATAACCGTAGCGCATCATTATTTTGATTTGTAATTATTATGATGTTTTATTCTAAATTTTATGATCTGCATATTATGAATTTATTTTTATACATGCATTATAATTTTAAATCCATGTAGTTTATATAATTGTATCTGTATTTTGATCATGTAAGATTACCTATCGTGCTCTGCCAAATATGAATCCTCATCTTAGAAAAACGTGAAAATTCACTCAAGAATATAAATGACATATCGCTTTTTTCAAAAATAGAGGCTAAAAAATATTTATGAGATGAAGTCACGTTACTCTTTTTTTATTTATTTGCCCATGTTCAGCAGAGCGAAGCGAGGGAGTGGTGTGTGTTTCAGGCATCTGTAAGAGTGGCGAGCTGTGCGGTCTGAGTAGTTTTGGATTACAGGAAGTATCATTGAGTCACTAATCGCCATGCCCTTTCTTTTTTTTTTATTTTTTTATTTTTTTTTTTTTTAATCTGAGTCATTCTCTTCAACTTGCTTGGAAATGTGATCTGGCACCAGAGGCCTCCTGGTGTGTGAGAGATCTTTCCCTACCACCTCCAACTTCAAATCAAATCAGGCTTGATGTTGACCATTCATGACATTTAGCTCACATTTTCCCCATGCAGATGTTTGGGCATTGTTGTAGATTTGTTGCTAAGACATACAAATGCTATCACAACTACTGTTCCCATATGACACCGCTGAACATTCCACTGACGTCACGCCAAATGATGAAAACACTTTATGTCGCCAGCTGGAAATGTAACTTTTTTTTTTAGTTTTTGATGTAATACTTTTTTACCATTGGCAGAAGCTGAGGCGAGACTACAGTATTTCAATTATTTACAGTGCTGAAATATGCTCTGAGATTGTTGATGGTATCTCAAGACAAGAGTTAGAGGGCGGGGCCACATTGGAGCAGTCATTACATCAGCAATGAGCTTATTCTGACAAGATGGAAATTGTTAATTGAGTCAAGTGTCCAATATTTACCATTCTGCAACGTAATAAATAATTAGGAGTAACATTATTGACCATATGGCACTTCCATTCAAGTGGCATGGAAACTGCTGCCACCCATTGTTTGCGGACCGGAATTGAACTCAGGGACGCTGCGACAGAGGCTCCTCGGTTTGCGACACGTGGCAGTTCGACATTACGAACGGAGAAGAAGGCACGCTGTACTGTACAGTACTGTATATCTAAAGTGCATTTTAAATTTAACACCACACACGCGGCGTCCATCAAAACAGGTTCATAAAGTAGTTACTGTGCTGGATCGCGCAGTTAACACTCCTGCCGCTAGAGGGCAGCATGTCACTACCATGCTCTTTACCGTACATGTTTAGCGTACCGTGGAAGACGCCATTGCAAACTGGGCTCTCCCATCAGTAGCATTTTTGTCATTTAGAGACAACACAATGAGGCGCTGATGAACAGCACTTTGTGAACATTTTAAGTCGTCTCTATTCAATTCTCACAACCAGGTCGCTTTCATCGAAAGTTGCCGCTAGACTCCCTGAAGCGGTGAGTTAGCCGCGTTAGCTCGTTGTTGTCAGTCGGGCTTTAGCACATATAGCTGTGAATTGCGACCGAATACGGTACTACCTGCTCATCTTATTAAAGTCCGAGCCCGTAAGAAGACGTTATTGCGATGTCCTGGACCCTCTTAGCTTGCTAAATGCGCGATCAGTAGCTGGCATTCAACTAACCTTACTAATGTCTCCTTTTGTCACAGGTAGAGCATCCACACATATGACGTGAGGTCACTTGTTATCATTTGAGACACTTGGTCGTGATGAATCGGCCAAAGCCAACAGCTCTGCGGCGCCCCAGTGCTGCAAAAACATCAGGTAAGCTACATTAATCAAACTAAATGTCATGTGCAGGCACTCTAATGGTGATATTGTCCCTTCAGATGATGATTCAAACGAGACAACAATGCATAAAGCAATTCGTAGCAGTTTACGAAATAGTAGGGCTGGGTAAGGTTCTGTCAAAACGTTAATGTCAACATGATCCTTTATATTGTCCCAGGCCATCCTCCGCCCGGCGACTTCATTGCTCTGGGCTCAAAGAGCCAGGGTGGCGAATCCAAAGCCCCCGCTGTCCTCTTGAAGCCGGCCGCCACCGTTCTACCTGCCGACCGCAAGAGAGAGACCTCCTCCACCCTCCCATCCTCATCAGGTCTGTCCAGCCTCGCCAAGCGGCCCAAGCTTTCCACCACGCCCCCAGTCAGTGCCCTGGGACGTCTCGCTGATGTTGCGGCTGCAGATAAGAGAGCGATATCACCCTCCATTAAGGAACCATCGGTTTTTCCTATAGAAGGTAAGTCATCATTAAATGCATACAAGGCTGGATTTAGTCAGTAGTTCCAATATCCCAATTGCCAATCATATACTATGCACTAAAGGGACTCTTACATTGGAAGAAATTATATTTTTATTCACATTTGCAGGAGGCATGACTCTGATCTGAAGACATCCGTTTTCATGTGTGTTTTTATAGTTGCCATGATGATTGTCTGGATTGCGTCACTTGAGAGCAAATCATTCTGAATTGCCTTACGTATACCTTGTGCTAAAAATCCAGTAATGTGTGTCAATGTGTGTTGTTGTAATTTTTTAGTGTCGCCAGCACTTTTGCTGGACGACATTGAGTTAGCCGAGTCGGAGGGCAACGATGAGCGCATCGAGGGGTTACTGTGCGGCGCAGTGAAGCAGCTCAAGATGAACCGAGCCAAACCAGACATCACACTGTATCTCAGCCTCATGTTCCTGGCCAAGATCAAACCCAATGTTTTCGCTACAGAAGGAATCATAGAGGTATCAGTTTTACTTGTTCATGTACACAATATTAAACTCTGATGTTTGATTATGTAACATTGATGGATTTTCCTTTCCTTGGTTTCACATTTGTGTGCGTAGGCCTTGTGCAGCCTCCTGCGTCGAGACGCTTCCATTAATTTTAAAGCAAAGGGAAATTCCCTGGTGTCTGTTCTGGCCTGCAATCTGCTGATGGCCGCATACGAAGAGGATGAGAACTGGCCAGAGATTTTTGTCAAGGTGAGAATGGCACCCTGAAAAGTGTATTTATGCATGCATATGTGTTATGGCAAGCAGACACATATCCAGACAATGATGTTTTAGTGATCCACTCAGAGGACAATTAAAAAAAAACAGCCTACACTTACCCATAACAATCAGGCCATTGGTTTAACTTTTAATCCAAAAGCTGATTTCCTCTTGCTTGCTGGTTTCAATATAAAATGCCATTTTTCAGGTGTACATTGAAGACTCCTTGGGAGAAAGAATCTGGGTGGACAGCTCTCACTGCAAGAACTTTGTTGACAACATTCAAACGGCTTTCAGCACCAAGATGCCCCCTAAAAGCATGCTGCTGCAGGCCGACACAGGCCGAACCGCAGGAGATCTCAGTGCCGGTATAGACCGAACACTCTGGCTTATTAATTGTTTTTCATACTGGGAAAATCCTTAAACTCCTGCCTTGATTCTAGGTAGCAGCCCTCATCCTTCAACTCCCGATGAGGATGACAGCCGAGCGGAATTGCTAATAGCGGAGGAGAAACTTAGCCCTGAGGATGAAGGGCAGGTTATGTCACGGTAGTAAAAACTTGTTGAAGCTAAATTAGAATTGAATACGAGTTGATTAGGAGGCATTTTCAAAGGCTCACTGTCTGTCTCATCGCAGGTATGAGGAACTAGCGGAGAGTGTTGAGGACTACGTGCTGGATGTCCTGCGCGATCAGCTAAACCGTCGACAACCTATGGACAACGTGTCACGCAATCTACTGCGCCTGCTGACTGCCACGTGCGGCTACAAAGAGGCTCGACTCATGGCCGTGCAGAGGCTCGAGATGTGGCTGCAGAACCCCAAGGTGAGGGCTGGAACACCAGCTGCCATATTCGTGATCCAAACTTGCTGGATGACATTGTTT